CCCGCCGCACAGGCACCAAGAGTGCGTGAATCGATGTGGGGCCCAGGTGCAGCGCCCCTAGGCGCACACGGTATTCGGCCAGCGGCACCTGCCTGCGCCACAGGAGATGCAGCCAGTGACACCACCGTCCTCCCCCTGGATGTCGGGGCCACCAGCCCTGCACCCCACTCCGCAGGCCTCAGTTTCCCCGGTGATCTGCATGGGCTTTGGGTGGGAGCTGACCTGGGGAAGCAGTGCCCTGCTGTCAGCACCCACTGGGGGGCTATGAGGGATCCCCCACACAGGTGCGCCCCACGGTGCTGCACGCTCGCCTGCCACGGCCACTCTCCGTCCTGGGCATCTCGGCCGCCCACGATCCGGCTGGACACGTGGGGCTGGCCGCAGGCTGTGAGGGGACAGCTTGGGCTGTTGGAGAGCCAGGGCCTGGGAGGCAGGTGTAGGTAGAGAGACGGGGCCAAGGTCCAGGAGGAACTGGTCCTGAGGCTTCCTTACCTGCAGATACCGGTGTCCAAGCGGCTCCTGCCGGAGGAAGCAGGGAAGGGACTGGTGTCAGATAACAAACATGCGGAAGGTGGAGCTCAGCGATCAGGAAGGAAGTGGAACATATTTAGTTGCACCGATCCCTGGCCAGGCTTCTGGGAAATTGGTCACCTGATTTAGCCTCCTCAGAGCACTGTGGGGTGAAGGGTGGGACTCTTAGGCCCTATACAGGGGCAGCATATTTGAGTTTGGAGAGCTCAAGGTCAGTGGCTGAGAGGATTTGGACACTCGGAAATGAGATTAAAATGCTGAAGGGTGCGGAAGGGGAACCAGGCCGAGAGGGGTGAGGTGGGCAAACTGGAGCCAAGCGCCCTGTGGCCAGCACTCCTAACTCTCACCCCACTCACCTGGCACCAGCAGGAGCAGGACCCAGAGGCAGGAAACACCCCTCATTGTGCCTTCAGGACTGGGCTGGATAAGGGTAGCAGTGCCCAGGGCTTGGAGTCTCTGAAGCCGGCAGGGAGTAGACAAGAGTGCCTAGCCCTGGGGAACACCCCACCCCGCTCACCATAACCCTTTGTGTGCCCTCCGTTCCTGGCTTGGACGACTGCCTGCCACCCGGACTCTGTACCCTTCCCTCTGCCCAGGCCCCAGTGACTAGGACCCCCCCCCCGGGATGCAGACCTCCCCCTGGGATGTGGACCCCTCTGGCTCTTCCTCCAGCCCACCCTTCTCTTATATTTCCTGACAGCTGCCACTGCTGCGCCCCAGCAAGCCCTGGACCGTGCTCTCACCCTCGGAGCCCGGTGCCCTTTCTCCTGACTGGGCTAGGGCAGGGCCTGGGGGCTTAAAGGGCAGAGGGGGTGGAGGCCTGGCCAGGGGGTAATTACCAGGGCCAAGGCGGGGCTGTGGCTTCACCTGACCGACTTCAAACAAAGATGCTTTGAGCAGTACTTGAGAGGTGGCAGGAAAAGGATACTAGGCGCTGAGAACCGCGGGAGGGAAGGGATCTGTGCTCGGGAGGATCCTTGGCAGCTCATCTCTAAACCTCATCCTGCCTCCTTGCTTCGTCACTGGAGCTTCTAAGCTCTATTGTTCTGTCCAGTAATCCCAGCTCGGCCTGGCTGGCCGGCCCCACACAATTCCTGACTTCACATCCTGGTCCCCGAACAAACCTGGCCTGCTGACCCCACACAGAGACCCCGGCCTGGCCACCCGCTCTTGGGTCCTGTGCCTGTAAGAGCTCCGTGTGGAAGTGACGGGTTCGAAGCCAGCAGCACGCCTTTCTCGCGCAGACAGAAGCAGGTGTGCCCGTGGGAAACAGTTCGCTCTGATTTGGGATGGCCAGGAGACCTGGGCACAGGGCAGCAACTGCCCTTCTCAGAGCCAGTGGAGGTCTGGGACCAGAATGGTGCCCAGAGGTGGAGAATCCTCTCTTAGGTTCTCACCTGCAAGGTTTTGTGGCCTCTTGCTGCCTTATCAGCAACCTCTTGCTCCTCAGCCCTTTCTCCATCACGTCCTGGGAGAGAGGACCCTCCCTCCCCTCAGCCATGGCCCCTCCGGGACCTTGTCATGGTCGTGCTTTGTACTTTGACATGTGCCGGAGGAGGTTGATTTGTCCCTGATTCACAAGGCAGGGCCTGGTTGGCACTCCTGTATTAGATTGCGCTCCCATCATCAAATACCACAGGGTGGGTGGCTCAAAGAGAAATTTGTTCTCAAGGCTTTAGGGGCTGGAAGTCCTAGATCAAAGTGCTGTAGGTAGGTTTCATCCTGAGGCCACTCCTCCGAGCCTGTTACGCCGCCTCTGTAAAGCAGAGAGATTGAGATCCTATTAGATCGGATCCCTATGCTTATGACCCCATTTAACCTCAGCTTCTTCCTTACATGCAGATAATGTCACACGGAGGATTAGGGCCTGCTATGGCTTGAATATAGTTGTTCTCTGGCCCCAAACTCATGAAGGAATTTAATCCACAAAATCTGACGGAATTAAGAGTGGACACTTAATTCCACTACGGTGTTTAAAGGTGAGGCCTTTGGGAAGTGATTAGATTAGGTCCTTAGGAGGAGTCCCCATGATTGAATCCTGGTGGTTTTGTAAGGATAGGAGGGATACCACACAGACAGACACGTAGGCTTCCTGTCTCTTGCCATGCGATACTGTGCGCCACCTTAGGACTCTGTCAGCAAGAAGGCTGTCGCCAGAACTGAGCTAGTGCCAGTGCCATGCCCTTGAACCTGCAAAATTGTGAATTAAATAAACTTCTTTTCTTTATAAAGTTATCCTGTCTCGGGTATTTTGTTACGATAATGAAAAGTAAGGAGTATAGGAGTTTAGCATAGGAATTTAGGTGGGGACACAAACATTCAGTCTGTAACAGGCTGCAGTGGACAGAACAGAGCTGGCACAGAGGAGCCCGGAACAAGTGAATGGGGCTGCTCAGGGCAGAAGGGTGGGGGTCAGCTTGAGGGATGGAGGGGGGAATCCTACGGTGACCCAGACTCAGAACCTGGGTGAGGGTGGAGAGAGGGAGACTCTAGGCTTGATTTCTGCTGTCCAGTTTAGTACCACACTCAAGACTACTTCTGGGCCTGGGTGAAGTCTTCGATTCGCTCCTTAGTACTGCAAAAGAAAACAAAGATCAGCTACTAGCTCTTTAGAGTTTGGGCTTAAGCGCTCCCTCCCTCCGGCACTGAGCCCTTGGGATAATTATTCAAACCGACATCCCCAACATCCCTCGCCCTCGAAGCCCACCTCAGAGGCTGTCATGTGAAGACCAGCTGAGTGAACCGTGCGGAGCTCAGAACAGTGCTAAAGGCTAAAGTGCTTCAGGAATGAAGGAAGCAGGCTCCTGCCTTCCCTAGGCCTCACGGGCTTCTGTTACCCAGGCCGGGCTGCTCTTGGATGGCTTGAGGGAGGCAGGGCCAGTGGTGCAGGACTAGTAGCAATGAGAAGCAAGGGGACTTCGACACAATCATCCCTGGAGACTTAGAGAAGACCTTGCGGGGAGCAAGCGGGACAGCTGGGAGCTGGGAGGTGCAGTCTGGAGTGCAGGGCGAGGCTGGAGATCTACAAACAAGAGTTGGGTCAAGGAGATGGGTTCTCGCGGAAAAACTGGCTCTTTCTAGGGAAAGGCTGCAACTGGTTGAAAAATGCCCAGCACGTTCGAACCTTGGGGAAGCAGGAAAGAGTTTCCCCCAGAAACCCAAGCCAACTAAGTCCAGCTCCTTTAGGCTTCACTCTTTTTTTTCCGTACTGGGGATTGAACTTGGGACCTACTTTTCACTTGTGAGGCAGGAACGGTGCCACTGAGCTAAATCCCCAGCCCCACACTCTTTTTAAAAAAACAAAACACAACACACTTGCTATGTAGTTCAGGCTGACCTCAAACTCACTACGTAGCCCAGGGTAACCTTGAACTCTCAGCGATCCTCCTGCCTCAGCCTCCCGAATGCTGGGATTACAGGTGTACGCCACGACGCCCGGCTTCTTTTTTTAACAACACCACCCTTCCCTACTCATGTGATGAAGCACATTGGAATGCTCCCCAGCACCCGCACTCCAAGTCTGCCCAGGCCCCAGATGCCCTGGGGCCACAGCCACCCTTCTATAAATCATCTTTTGGAACAAATTAATCACAGCAGGTCTTGCCATTTGCAACTAAAACCTGGACAAGGTTAGAGGCTGGGATGGGACTGAGGCTGGATGCATCACAGTTGAACAAAGTGGTCAAGGAAACCAACGGGTCCCTACAGAGCTCTGTGAAGAGAATTCAGATATGTACAAGTTTATTAGCAAACAGGACAGAGGGGACAGAATAAAGGGGCATCCACAGGGTGGAGGGGGCTACAAGCGCTGCGATCCCCGCTGCATCTCCCTAGGTCGTGTGGGCTCAGGTGCGGCCCACACACCGAGGAGTCCAGGGCAGAGTAAGGAGCAACAGCAGCAGGGAGAGCTCTAGCCTGGGCGAGCCATCGTGGGCCATGGTCTGCTGGATCCAGTGGGCGTGCTGGCTGACGTTGGTGTAGACTCCAGGCCTATTGGGGCGACCGCAGCCCACTCCCCAGCTCACGACTCCAATCTGATACCACAGCCCATCCAGGTCGCAGACCAAGGGTCCTCCTGAGTCCCCCTGTGGAGGAGCACGGGTGAGCCCAGCCTGGAGCAAGGCATGGTAGCCCAGCGTAGAGGGAAGGAAAGCAGCTGGCGCCTCCCCTGGCAGTAATGGAGCCTCAGTTTCCACATCTACAGATATGGTCAGGTTCTCTTACCTCCAGAGGTGACAAGACCATAAAAAGGCACCATTAACAGAAAATGAGAAATATATGGTGTAGTCTGGGTGGCTAAGGACTGCAACTGATTTATCTTCTTTGACTGCATCTGTGTGTGTTACTAGGGATTGAGCTACATCCCTTTTTCTATTTTGAGACAAAGTCATTAAAAGTTGCCCAGGCTGGGTTCAAACTTGTGGTCCTCCTGCCTCAGCCGCTCAGAGCGCTAGGATTATAGGCATGCGGCACTCCAGCTAAGAGTGCAATTGATTTCTATGAATAAATTCCAGATTCATTTGGGTGGAGGAACCTCAAGCCCATGGTTGGGAAAAGGTGGGATTTCCTGATTTTTTGGGGGGGACTTACTTTGCAGGAGTCTGCGCTGCCATCCTCAGCACCAGCACAAAACATGGACTCTTTGATTCTGCTGAGTACAATGGGCTTTGTGAACAGGTAGTTGCACCTGGTGTTGTTCAGGATGGTGACCTGCACTTCTCGGAGGTGGTAGGGAGGTGGCACAGGTGCTGTAGGTAGGAAAGGCACAGAAGGAGACCTTAGCATCCCCCCTGCCATCCCGGGCAGGGTCGGGACAGAGGACACCCTCTATGGTGGTGATGCAGGAGACCCCTTGGGACCACCCCCCCAACAAGGACAATCGACCTTATTATGGGAGCTGCTGTAGCACCACCGGAAACTTGGTTTCCCTGGATGTGCAATGAATGGGAGATGACAGCCCCTGCCCACACTGGTGGACAGATTTCTTAAGCAAAGTCCACATAAGGAGTAACTAAGGAGGCAGAGAGTATTTTGTTTTGGTCGCTGAGACAGGCTCTTGCTTTGTAGTTTAGGCTGACCTTGAACTCACTCTGTAGCCTAGGCTGGCTTTGAACTTGTGGTGATCCTCCTGCCTCAGCCTCCCAGGTGCTGGGACTACAGGCATGCACCACCATGCCTAGCTCTGGAGAGTTTTTGATTGTACCTCCTCCCCACAAAAAGGTCAAATTTGATGAAATACATGAAAGAACAGATACAAGAAGCTGAAGAGACTCCAAGTAAGGCCAACAGAAAGAGAACCACCTGAAGACACACTATAACCAAACTAGGAAAACACAGACAGAAACGTGTAAACAGCAGCAGAGAATCCAGTTGTCAGTACAAGGGAACTCAACAGATATACAGTTGGTTTCTTTTCAGAAATTAGGTGTTCAAGGAAAAAGTTCTATGTTAATGTTCGTAACTATTCACAATACTCAAAAAGGTAGAAATTAGCCCAGCGTCCATCAACACATGAATGGATCAAAAAAACTGGGTTATAAATAAATTGTGTCATGCAGGGAATACTATTCAACCATAAAAAGAAATGAAATTCTGATACCTGCTTTAATACTGATGAAGCTTGGAAACACTGATCTCAGAAAGCAGGCCCAGAGAGCCACATACTGTATGAAGCTATTTATATGAAATACTCAAAAGAGCTGAATCAGAGACCGAAAGCTGCTCAGTAGTTTCCAGGGGTTTCAGGGAGGATCCACGAAGAGTGACTGCTTAGTGGGAATGAAGCTCTCCTATAAGTTGATGGCACAGTGCTGCGAACTCACTAGGTAAGGCAAACATGGCACATTAAAAAAAAAAAAAAAGGAACGAAGAAAAGAATAGGGAGGTTGATATGGTGAGCCATAAAGAGGGCTGATCTTGAGGACACTGTATCACAGGAAAGAAATCAGACACAAAAGGTCGCCTCCTCTATGACTCCGCAGGTCCAGACAAGGCAAATCACAGGGACAGAATCAGGTTGCACGTGGCCAGGAGCGAACGGCCTGGGGAACCTGGGCCACTGAGAGGATGACTGGGGGGTGAGGGGTTGTTTCTGAGAACACGAAAATGTTACACCATTAGACAGGGTTGATGGCTGCACAACTAGGTGAATATACTAAAAATCACTGACTTCAACTCACTTCAGTGCTATTCTCTTCCAAATCGTATGGGCCGTGAATTAAATCTCAGTGTAAAGAAATGAAGGCCTGAAGCTTCCCCAGAAATCTGCCCGATCCCCAACCCTGCTGGCCGGGGCACATAGGACTGGCCAAGCTGGACGCCCCTGTACCTCTGCCTTCAGCCACCAGGTCTGCAAAGATGGCTGGGATGGACAGGAGAGGAGTGGGTAGGGTGGATGCCGAGCAGGGAGGCAGAGGGGGCTCAGTGGTGCCCGAGACCAGAGAGGTGCTGTTGAGCATGGCGTGGCTGGGACAGGAGACCAGGACAGTGCCCGCCCACCCCAGCCCGTCTCTCCCGGCCTCACTCAGATTCTCGTGGAGTACCCCCCAGCCGGTCACCCAGCAGTCGGGCCGGTGCAGGAACACGGAGGAGGAGGAGGCCTGCACACACACTGGCTGGATGTACTTGGTGTAGGTGACAGGGGAGGCCAGCTTCAGCAGGGCGATGTCATGGGAATGTCTTATGGCTCCGGGATGTACAAAGATGTCCATCACCCTGTACCGGTTGAGGTAGGCTCGTAGGTTCCAGATGGATGGGTAGAGAGTGAGCTCACCCAACTGGACAGTCCATTTAGAAGCATCGTGGAACCTGCCACGGACAAAAGAGAACTCGTTGTCTTGGGAGCAAGGCTGGCCACCTGGGCACACGTGGGCCCTCCCTGAGGTGTCCTGCGGGGCTGTACTAAGTGCTGTCTTCTGTGCCTCAAGGTCCTCTGTGGAAACTCTCCGAGCCCCAACCAGACCAGCCAAAACCAAAGTCTCCACTCTTGGGCACAGTGGGGGCAGGAGGACGGGATAGCTCCCCTGGGAAATGGTTCCAACTTCCCGGGGGGCCCCTGAGCAGCCCAAAGTGTACAGAATGGATCTGGGGGCCTGGCAGGGTGGACTGAAAAGCTGGTCTGGGGAGAGCCCTGCTCACCACTCTGCTCCCTCAGCTCCAGGGCCTGCCCCGACGCAGTCCATCCCAGAACATCGCAGGGAGAGGGACGAGGGGGTTACCCCGGCGGGGCCATGGGGATGGGGGTGGAGATAGCGCATCAAAAGTTCACGGAATGTTCTGGAAGGGCAACTCTGAAGGACCCCGACAGGATCCCCCGGGG